AGACAGCAGCTTTACCCTTAACTGCAATCAGCCATTTAGTGCGGAAGCCATCATCAAAGGTAAAGTAGAGCCAGGGGAAGTCGGGGTAAAGCGCCAGCCCTGCATTCACGCTCACACTCGCAGAAAGGAACTAGGGCAAAGCTGTCATGACTGCTGGTTTCCCTTTACTAGCACTTCTCTATACCATTTTTCTTTCTCTCTTTTTTTAATGTCATGATGAGCTATAATTTGAGCTGTTTTTATTGTTCCCCAAAGACTTTGGGTTGCTCTGTGGGTATCACAAAAACTGAAATCCAATCGTATTCTTTGGCCTTTGGGGAAGTGGAACCATGGGTGTGTTTGTCATTTTTAGCAGTCATTGGAGCAGGGCCAGAGCTCCAGGAGATACTAAAAGTGTCTAGAATCGCCTGATTGGCTGTTGGAATTAGCTGTTAAACAAAGCAGCCAGTAGCTGAACACTAGGGACCTTCTTGAACTCCAGTTGGGTGGGAGACCTTCCAGTGTGTCTGTCAGCTCTCAACTAGGACGGAAAGGTAGAGATTTCAAACAGTGGGCTGGTGACAAAGCAGCTGATAAAAACACTCTCCTCTCTGTCCTTTGTCTGGGAGTTTCGCCTTGTCTCAGACTCACTTCCTCTCTTTGTCACTGTGCTATATACCAGTGCTGTCCTGCCTGGCCAGATTTACTAACTAGCGGAAGAGAAACCCCAAGAGAGGCACTGGGCTCATGTTCCATAATGAATCTAATCCAGAGACTAGAAACTGTCTGATACACAAAGAAATTTTGTTTTGTGGATTGAAAGTAGAAATAAGGAAAGGAAAATGTTTTGGAAATTGATTTAATAATTTTATAGATGAGTCAATTCTTTGTTGTAGAGATTTCAGAGAAAATGCCTGGATTTATTGTTTATCTTTTCTTGAGGTTACTTCTAAAACATTTCTTACACATTAAACCAACGTTTAAAGCACCACTTTCATTGGCACATTCTATTTCAAAATAAATCCCTTTACTGCCATGGAGCACCTTGCCAATATCTTAATTATCACCCATTGAATGTCACAAAAAGAAGGCATGGGTTTAGATCATAATGTCAAATTGAAATGAATTGAAAACTAGCATTGGCATAAGGATTTAAAAGTATGAGGGAGGACCCCAGAAAACTGGCATTAGTATTTTTTTGGAGGGCAGGCTTCCCTCGCTCGGTTAGTGTTCTAGGAACCAATCAGCATCCGTGTACCAGCTAGTGTTGTTGTGAGATGCTACACGTGGCATCAGTGATTTTTTTGGAGATTCTTTCAGTGTGTTTGCCCATTTCATAATGGGTGATTTGTGAGCACACCTGCCCACACTGCACTGAGTGTTCAGCAGTTTTTGACTAAAAAACGGCATGAACCCCATGCCCACCCTCCCTGTTCACCTGATCTCGCCCCAAGCAACTTTATTTTTTGTTTCCCTGGATGAAAAATGTCCTCAAAGGTAAACATTTTGCTGATGTAGAACAGGTGAAACAAAAAATGGCAGAAGCCCTAAAAGTCATCAAAATTGATGAGTTCAAAAACTTTTGAGCAGTGAAAAAAGCATCTCAACAGGTGTGTTGCATCCAACGGAGAGTACTTTGAGGGTGACTAAAGTTTAAACATGTAAGGATAAGTACACAAGTTTTTATAAATAAATTTTGGGGTTTTTTGATCCCCTCTTGTATGTTATTTCACTATAGTTATTTCCCATAGAAATAGCACAGGTACTGCGTGCAGTGGCTCACACCTATAATCTCAACACTTTGGGAGGCGGAGGCAAGAGGATTGCCTGAGCCCAGGAGTTCAAGAACAGCCTAGGAAGCAAGGTGAGACCTTGTCACTAAAATAAATCAAAAAATTGGCTGGGCGTGGTGGCACAAGCCTGTATGTAGTTCCAACTACTTGGAATTTTTTGTTTTATTTTAGTGAGGCAGAAGGATCACCAGAGCTCAGCAGGTTGAGGCTGTGGTGGTAGTGAGCATGCCACTACACTCCAACCTGGGCAACAAAGTGAGACTCCAACTCAAAAAAGAAAGAGCACAGGTAGAGATTAAGAATACTATGTTGTCATCCTAAAGATGGCCTATGTCACCTCAATGTTAGCTGTACTGGTTACTAAGAAGCTTATTTTTTTTTAATTTTTAGATTAGAAAATATAGTTCATTTAGAAAGTAAATTTGAGGCCAGGTGCAGTGGCTCAAGACTGTAACCCCAGCACTTTGGGAGACAAAGGTGAGAGGATTGCCTGAGACCAGGGGTGTGAGACAAAGCCTAGGCAATTTGGCAAGACTTTGTCTCTACAAAAAATAAAAAAATTAGCCAGGCATGGTAGTGCGTGCCTGTAGTTCTGGCTACTTGGAAGACTGAGACAGAAGGATTGCCTGAGCCCAGTAGGTTGAGGCTGTGGTGGCCATGAGCATGCCACTGTACTCCAGCCAGGGCAACAGAGTGAGATTCCAACTCAAAAAAAAAAGTAAATTTGAGAGAGAAAAAGAGAAGATTCACCTCCTCAAGTTAGGAGAGGGGGCCAAAGCTTAAGAAAACATGGACTGGCCATAGTTTAAAGAGCACATGGCCACACCGTAGCTCAGCAAGGCAATGGCCAAGAAGCTTACTACTTGGAAAGCTGAGGCGGAAGGATCGCCGGAGCCCAGCAGGTCGAGGCTGCAGTGGCCGGGAGCGGCCACTGCACTCCAGTCTGGGCGACAGAGTGAGACTCCAACTCAAAAAGAAAAGTATCAGGAAATGTACATATTTATAAGGAGGCAACACCTAATATACTGTATTTTGGTCAAACTTCTTCATCAGTGCTTATCTGAAGCTCACGGTGGGCTCAGTAGATGTTAGCAGTCAAAGTTGGCAGTAGTTGAGAGGCAAATGAGCTGAGAGCATACCTCTCAGCTGCAGAGTAATCTGTTGATGTCCAGTTATCTTAGAAATTGGCTTCTGGCCGGACTCAGTGTCTCAGCCTGTAATCCCAGCACTTTGGGAAGCTGAGGTGAGTGGATTGCCTGAGCCCGTGGGTTCAAGAATAGCCGGGGCAACCTGGCGGGACCTTGTCTCTGCCATAAATCAAAAATTAGTCAGGCATGGTAGCGCGTGTCTGTAGTTCCAACTACTTGGAAGGCTGAGGCAGAAGGATTGCTGGAGCTCAGCAGGGCAACACTGGGGTGACCGTGAGTGTGCCACTGCACTGCAGCCTGGGCGACATAGTGAGACTCCAACTCAAAAAAAAAAAAAAAAAAAAAAAGTTGGCTTCTGCCGGACGTGGTGCCTCATGCCTGTAATCCCAGCACTTTGGGAGGCAGAGGTGAGAGGACTGCCTAAGCCCAGGGGCTCAAGACCAGCCTGGACAACTTGGCAAGACTTCATCTCTACAATAAATCCAAAAATTAACTGGGCGAGGTGGCATGTGCCTGTAGTTCCAGCTACTCGGAAGGCTGAAGCAGAAGGATCACCTGAGCCCAGCAAGTCGAGGCTGCTGTAGCCGTGAGTGTACCACTGCACTGCAGCCTGGGTGACAGAGACTCCAACTCAAAAAAAAAAAAAAAAAGTTGGCTTCTACTTATGTTAGAGACAAGCTGCTGTGACTAGAATTTACAGGGTTTCAAATGGTAAAAGAAGGTATTTAGAGCCTCATAGGAAGCAATTGTTAGAAAGAACAGCACATCTGTGTTTAGTGCCTACATAATCCTTAGAAAAGATGCACTAAGCAATCAGGTACATTTGTAGTTCTCATAATCCACCTGGGTGACAGAGATTTTACTAAAAATCAGTCTAGGTGGGATTGGCAGTGAGGGAAACCGCCAGGGGAGGGAAGGCACACCTCATCAATAAGGGACCTGCATAATGAACATTTGTATACCTAACCCTGAATTGTACCCCATATCTTTAAAAATTAAAAAAAAAAAAAATCAATCTCAGGCTTTGAAAGGTATCGACAAAGCTCTTTCCAAATACTTTTTCCTCTGATCTTTTTTAAGCCTACCTGGGATGGGTGGAGAGGGCTAATTCACCCATTTTCCAGCCGAGAGGGCAGGCCCAGGTGTGACTTGCTCCTGCTCACATGGGAGAATTTTCAGATCTTTCTGCCTTTTGCCCCTCCAAGAAAGCAAAGGCCTGTGGGGTTCGCCATATCCTCACAGCTATTATTCTTTGTCCTATTCATTTGTCAACTAAGTCGTTTCAACCGTATGTCTCCAGTAGTTACTTCAGTCTTTGTTGTTAAATAATGCTTTCTCTGACTGTCTTCTCTACCTAGCCTGCAAGCTCCATGAAGACAGTGTCTAGCTCTTTTTCATCTCATAGCTTTCACTGTACCTTGCGTGGTATTTTGAACCTAACAAGCACCTTAATAAAAATGAGTTGACTTGGTAGTTCTAACGATGGGTACCAGTTGGATCACATTATTGGCAGTGCATCAGAGTGAACAGATGTTCCCATTCAAATCCATGAAACTGGAAACATTAAAAAATAACAATCATGACATTGATTGATAGTGATGTTTACTGTGTCAGACTGTTTAAGCTCAGCTATAAAATGGACTCTCATACTATCATCTTTACATTTTGACTTCAAAGATGCTCAAACATTTAAATATTGGCACTTGACTCAGATCCTAATTCCTTCTTGATGTACTGTTTAATATCTCATTATCAAATTATAGCCCTGTTCCTTTGAATTTCACTCAAAATCTCTCCTTCCTGAGAAACAGCACCTCTGGGTGCTTTGAGGATATTTTTGGTCTATTGTAAGAAAATATTTATTAGGCAGGGCATGGACTGGTAAGAACACGGCAGACAATGCAAGGCTGAAGAGAGGGGTGTTGCTGAATAATATCTTCGCTCATTTCCTAAATCCCCTGGGGAACAGATGGGTCATCATTTGAATTGTTTTATAAAAAGCTATCTTAGAATCTGAAGTATAATCTTGAAGGCAAATGCATCTTGCTGTAAAACTATCTTTTTTATTTGTCTAATTCAGGTCCTACACAAGTGGAGCCGCTTTCTCTATGAGCACATCAGGTTTATTTCGTTTTCCTACACCACTGACCAGAATCCGCACAGTGCCATGGGGACTCCGGCTCTGGGAGAAGCTGACGCTGTTCTCCCTGGGAAGAGTCGTCCCTCCAGTCCAGATGGCGGGCAAAAAGGACTGCCCTGCTCTCCTCTCCTTGGATGAGAAGGAACTCGAAGAGCAGTTTGTGAAAGGACACGGTCCTGGGGGCCAAGCAACCAACAAAACGAGCAACTGTGTGGTGCTGAAGCACATCCCCTCCGGCATCGTTGTAAAGGTGGCAGGGAAGACTGCTGGGGGGAGGCCCGCCCCGCCCAAGGGTTCTGCAGCCTCAGTAGATTTGTCCTGAGTGCAGACAGTGATCAGGCACGTTCTCATTCAGCCGTGGGCCGCCCTCTACCAGCCCAGCAGCAGAGGGCACTGCAGGTCTTGCTCCTGCCCTGAGCCATTGCTCCCTAAGGCAGAACTCCTATTCAGCCTCAGCAGCCTGGTTCCAGGATCCTTTGGAACCAGGGTATTGCTGTCATCCCTGAATTTGGCAGGCAGCACTGGTGTTTGGCTGCCGCCCACGGGAAGCAGCACCTTGACACAGCCAAGCAGTCGCTGATGAAGGCAGGTGCCTGGGTAGCATGGTTCTTTCAGCCACTCTGGCTGCGGATGGCTGCAAGGTCCGCAGCCGTGCTGTGGGCTGCAAGCTCCTGAGTAGGCAGCAAGCAGGCCTGGATTGTCAACTAACATTCTCACCCTTAGCAGACCTGGCTGGTCAGTGTTAGGATGGCCGCATCCTCCGTATCCCTCTGTCCCCTCTTTGTAAATGTCAATGATACCTACCCTTCTGAGAAGGAGGACTGAGGGTGAGACAAAGGAGGCCAGCCATTTTCAGCCCCAGAAGAAAACAGCTGTGCCCAGCTGCCAGTAGGTGCCTGTCTTCTTTACAGAAAAGACAAATCTCTGATCAGAATATCACCAGCTTTCAACAAAAACCGAACCTCTAGGAAATGGCGGAGTGCTTTCTCCCTCTTTCCTGGCTTATAGTAGTAGCCCCATGGCCTCTGAAAGACAAGCCCACTCGGTGGAACCAGAAAGCCCTCAAAGCAGCACAGGCTTCAGAAGCAGCAAAGAGAAGAGACCATAAAGGCAGGCTTTTCATCTCTGATGACGCTGATATCAGATACTTACAAATCTTGTAACTACGTGGGCGGCACTGTTCTAAGCAGCATTAACTCTCAGTTCACATAGCCCCATGTTCATGATTTTCGGTACAGATGTGGAATCAGGGCAGAGAGCTTAGGTAACTTGCCTGAGGCCTTACCACTACAGGAGCCGACTCAGACCAAAGCCAAGCCCACATTCCTAATAGCTGTACTTCACTTCTGAGCTTTTGAGCCAAGAGCATATCATTTCTGACTTCAATCACCTTTCTTTTCATCCTCGAAAAAACTGTCATTCGTGAGTTACAAAATTCTTAAGCCTGATATAGTTGATTTTCGTCTAACCTATTTTATAAGGTACTCCAAATTTGCTTTTAGTATTGTTTTTTCACCCCAATTTCATACTCCGTAGGACTTTTTTTTTTTTTCTTTTTTTAGTTGGAGTCTTACTCTGTCATCCAGGCTGGAGTGCAGTGCCACTCTCACGGCCACCCTAACATCGACCTGCTAGGCTCAGGTGATCCTTCCACCTCAGCCTTCCAAGTAGCTGGAACTACAGGCATATGCTACCATGCTTGGCTGATTTTTTATATTTATGGTAGAGATGAGGTCTCATCAAGTTGCCCAGGCTGTTCTTGAACGTGTGGGCTCAGGCAATCCTCTCACCTCAGCTTCCCAAGTGCTAGGATTACAAGCCTGAGCCACCACACCCGGCCAGGACTTTTTTTTTTTTTTTTTTTT